AGGAGGAGAGAAGAAAAAGAAAGAAAGAAGAGAAAGAGAGGAGAGGGGAGGAGACGAGAGAGAGAGGGAGAGAGAGAAATAGAGAAAGAGAGAGAGAGAGGAGAGAGAGAGAGAGATGAGAGAGAGAGAGAGAGAGAGAGAGAGAGAGAGAGAGAGAGAGAGAGAGAGAGAGAAGAAAAGAGAGAAAGAGAAAGAGAAAAGGAAGGAGAGAGAGAGAGAGAGAGAAGAGAGAGAGAACGGAGAGAGAGAGAGAGAGAGGAGAGAGAGAGAGAGAGAGAGAGAGAGAGAGAGAGAGAGAGAGAGAGAGAGAGAGAGAGAGAGAGAGAGAGAGAGAGAGAGAGAGAGAGAGAGAGAGAGAAGAAAGAGGAGAAAGAGAGAGAAAGAGAGAGAGAAAGAGAGGAGGGAGGGAGGAGAAAGAGAAAGAGAGAGACGAGAGAGAGAGAGAGAGAGAGAGAGAGAGAGAGAGAGAGAGAGAGAGAGAGAGGAGAGAGAGAGAGAGAGAGAGAGAGAGAGAGAGAGAGAGAGAGAGTCAGAGAGAGAAGAGAGACAGAGAGACAGAGAGACAGAGAGACAGAGAAAGAGGAGAGAGAGGTGGAAGAGAGAAAGAGAGAAGAGACGAGAGAAAGAGAGGCAGAGACAAAAAGAGAACCAGACAGACAGCCAGAGTAAGAGAAAGACAGAGAGATGAAAAAAGAGAGAGAAAAAAAGAAGAGTGACCCCATCCCCTGAACACCCTAATACCCCCCCCCCCCCTCCCCCTCCTTCCGAAAATCCTGCCCCCCCCCTTGACCCTGACCCTGACCCTTGACCCACCTCGAGCGGCCTCTCTCGAGCGTCTCCCCGTCCACGAGCCACGTGAGGGCGGCGGGCGGGATGGACGGCAGGTGGCAGGTCAGTCTCACGGCGCTGTTCGGCCTCACGCTGCTGTTGCGAGGGAGCATCTGCCACGACCCAGTGTCTCTGCCAAGGGTGTTGGAGGGAGGGTAGGGAGAGGGGAGGGAGGGTGAGGGGAGGGGAACGAGGGACCCAGTCCACGACCCAGTGTCTGCCGGAAGGAGGGGGTGAGTGAAGGTTTGGGGGGTATGGGGAGGGTGCGAGAGGGGAGGCCGAGGGTAGGAGGAGAGGTGGGAGTGGAAGAAGGAGGGGGAGTGGAGGGGAAAGGGCTAGGATCTGCCAGGACCCAGTTGTCTGCGGGAAGGAGGGGGAGTGATTGGCGGGGTTGGGCGGGGGGGGGAGGGAGGGAGGGGTTGGAGTAGGAGGGAGAGGGGGAGGGGGAGAGGAGGAGAGGGGGAGGGAGGGAGGTAGGGGGAGGGAGAGGGGGAGGGAGGGGAGGGAGGGCAGGGGGAGGGGGATGGGGAGAGGGGTGAGGGTGAGGGAGGGGGAAAGGAGGAAGTGGAGGGGAGAGGGAGTGGAAGAGGAGGGGAGTGGAGGGGAAAGGGCCAGGATCTGCCAGGACCCAGTCTTCCGGGAGGAAAGGGAGGGAGAGGGAGGGGGGGGGAAGGGGTTAAGTCTGTGGCGGAAGGGAATGGGAGGATCAGCCACGACCCAGTGTCTGCCGGGGGGGGGGGGTAAGTCTGGGGGAAAGGGGGTAGAGCTTGAGGGGAGGGGTGGGAGGAGGGGAGAGGGGAGGAATGGGGACGAGGTGTGAGTTTGAGGCGAAAGGTCTTTTGGTTGTGTGCGTGCGCGCGAGCGCCCGCGCGTGAGTGTGTGTGCGTGCGTGATAAATTCAACACACATATATGCTTACATGTCTACAAGCATTTATCTATGCAAGATGCACACGTGATAACATAAACATAAGAGTTCCTGGAGTAATTTCAAAGCCATTATGTTTGTAGAATAGTGAACATCACTGAAAGCACACACACACACACACACACCACACACACACACACACACACACACACACACACACACACACACACACACACACACACACACACACACACACACACACATACACACACACACACATACACACACACACACACACACACACACACACACACACACACACACACGTATACATTCAGTTTCAGTCACTGTCAACATTTCAGATCAATCAGACACTTCACTGGAATCAAACAGCATTCCGATTGGACCAAAAGACAGCAGCTGGCGTTAAAGACATTTCAGATTGGATTAAAAAACGCTTCAATGATATTAAGACACTTCAGCTGGAGCTCCGAATGCTCCAGATGGACCCAAAGGCCTTTCAGTGGCACACAGGATACCAGCTGGATTAAAGACACTTTAGCTGGAATGGCCTTGACAAAAAAAAAAAAAAAAAAAAAAAAAGAAAAAAAAAAAAAAAAATCAAAAGCGACTAGCGACTTCAGCTGAAAGTAAAACCTACGTCAGGCTAAATCTAATAATGATCACGACACAAAAATAATTTTAAAAAAAAAAAAATAAAAAAACAAAACAAATCGTATGGAATTAAAATGCACGTCAAAGGGAATAGGAGGGACACTTCAGGAGGAATGGAAAGCCATTTCAGCGGGAAACAAAATTCGTCCTGGGCGCCAATGAAGGCATTTCAGGCTCCGTTAAAGGGAGTTGAGGACACAATCAAACCCATTTCAGCCACATGCGATGACAGAGGAGCTTCAATCATGATATTAAAGCGACAATCAAGGGCATTTCAGCTGTAATTAAGGGCGCTTCAGTCCCTTGGAAGCAGGGCAGCGCCGGCCAGGGTCAGTGCCAGGGACTGGGTAGACAGCAGGCAAGCAGGCAGGCAAGCAGGCAGGCAGGGTGGCACCAGACCAACTGTATTGATCAGACAGTACCGGGAGGCGGGGGGGGGGGGGGGTGTCCGTGCCCCCACCCACCACCCCTTCCCCTTCCCTCTCCTCCATTTTCCCTCGCCTTCCCTCCCCCTCCCTTTCTCCCCTCTCCCTTCCTCCCCCTTCCTTTCTCAACTCTCCCTTCCTCCCGCCCCCCTTCCACTTCCTCCGGCTCCCAGCCCTTCCTCTGCCCCTCTCTCCTCTCTGCGCCTTCCTCCTCTCTGCCCCTCCTCCTCTCTGCCCCTCTCTCCTCTCTGCGCCTTCCCTCGCCCGTCACTCCATCAGCTGGTTCCATGCGAACGTTTTTTCCGTCGCTCGATCGCCGGCGTTCTGCGCTCTTTCGCCTTCCGACTCTGCCAGCGGACGGTCACACACACACACAAGCAGGCACATACACACACATACATACACACACACACACACACACACACACACACACACACACACACACACACACACACACACACACACACACACACACACACACACACACACACACACACACACATACACACAATATATATATATATATATATATATATATATATATATATATATATATATATATATATATATATATATATATACAATATATAATATTATATATATTATATATATATATATATATATATATATATATATATATATATATATATATATATATATATATATATATATATATATATATATATATATATATATATATATATATATATATAATATATATATATATATAATATATATATATATATATATATATATATATATATATATATATATATATTATATATATATATATACACACACACACACATATATATGCATATATACGCTGTTTTATTCAATAGCCATTAGCCTCCAGTGCAGGACTAATGCATCTCCGAATCCATTATTGAGTTGTTAGGCGGCCCCTCCCGATTGTGCGGCCTCATAAGCAGCAGCGGGAACACATGAGCCACGACGCCCGATGTGTATGTATGTGTGTGTTTGTGTATGTGTGTGTAAGTGTGTGTGTGTCGAGATCATCGTTTCTTCGACATCTAAAAAGGTGCGTTGGTTTCTAATTTCAAAGATGTATATATATGTCACTGACATGTCTGTTTATATATTTTATATTTTCTAAAGGCATATCAATATAGCAAAGTTTGTTATAGAGATAATATTAATTAATGATTATATATGGTTTGATTAATTGTTAACAATTTTGGGGAAAGCAGTAAGTTCGATATTTTAACGATTTCTCTCGTCACACAAGCCTTTGCCTTCCTCCCATCAAGAGGTATGTTAAATGCTGGTCTTTAAAGTCATGTTTTACCCTGATATCTTAGATTGTAATGCTTGATAAGTGCATCAACGTAATTGTTAAATCCATTTGCATTGATTTATGATAATTGAGACGAGCCCTTGCGAACTCCCAAACAGAGAGAGAGAAATGATGGAGAAAATGCCGGGAGATCAACATGCTTTAATGCTTGCTGCTAGGGTTCATATATTCGTTATTTATTTATTTATCTATTTCAATGGTTCTTGGGCACAGTAACGGAATTGGTTGTAGGTGACAGTTCCGGTGGTGTCAGTGAATAGAGTGAGAAGGAAATTATTTATGAGAGGGAAGTGTGAGAGGGAAAATGGGAACGGTTGGTTTCTGTTCCAGTAAAATCATGAAAGAACACTGATAGACTGGGTGTGAGGACCTCGATTCCGTCCGATGTATATTCTTGTTGTTTATTAGCCGAAGACATAAAGATGGATTATGTATATATATGTATATATATATATATATGTATGTGTGTGTGTGTGTGTGTGTGTGTGTTGTGTTGTTGTGTGTGTGTGTGTGTGTGTGTGTGTGTGTATACCCTATACATATATATACACATAATCTATCTTTATATCTTCCGGCTAACTATATACAAATATGTCTTCTCTTGAGCGCATCCCATCTCGTGCCCAAGGCACGAAGCGGAGAAGGTGGAAGCGGAAAATGGAAGAAAATGAAGGGGCGGAGATAATAGCGGATAGGTATAGAAAGCGAGAGAAAGGAAGAGAAAAGAATGGGAGGAAGTTCAAGAAGGAAAGAGGGAGAGGAACAGGATAAAAAGATATATATATATATATATATATATATATATATATATATATATATATATATATATATATATATATATATATATATATATATATATTATATATATATATGAGTATATAAATACAGAGAGCGATAAGAAGGGGGGAGAAAGGAAAGAGATTAGAGAGAATTAGATACACAGATAGACAGAGATAGATAGATATAGACATTGTTAAGGATAGAGATACATAGGTAAAAAATAAGTAGATAAAGAGATAGATGGAGAAAAGGAAAGATTATGAACGAGAGAATGAGAGAGGAAAAAGACAACGAAAGTGGAATCGTAATTAATGAATAAGGTAAATACGAAGAGGGAGAAACGGCGTAAAAGAAGATAAAAGCAATGAAGAGGAGACAGAGAAAATGCGAGAAATGACGAGGTGGGGTTTGATGGCGACTCGAAGCCCTTATCAAGAAGTTGACAAAACCAGCGATTTGGTCTCGCGTCTTATCTGCGCCTCTGTTACCTTCCGCTGCCTTATCTCTCTCCTCTCTGCGATCTCTCTCCCTCTCTCTCTATCTATCTCTTCCATTTCTTCCTCTTCCTTTCCAAACTCTCTCTTTTCCTTTCTATTATCTTTCTCTCCCTTTCTGTTATCTGTGTGTATGAGAATGTGTGTATCTATCTCTCTCTTGTTCCTTTCTAAACACCCTTTCCTTGTCTCCTCTCTCTCTCTCTCTCTCTCTCTCTCTCTCTCTCTCTCTCTCTCTCTCTCTCTCTCTCTCTCTCTCTCTCTCTCTCTCTCTCTCTCTCTCTCTCTCTCTCTCGCTCTCTCTCTCTGTACCACGTTTCTCTCCCTCTTCCTGCCATATCTGTCTACTGCTCTCCACTGCCTCCGTCTGCAGGAGCACGAGCCAGGGCCCTACAGATGCGCGGCGAAAGCCAGCCGCTACGTCTTGATTCCCTTGTGAAGAGAGAAATGGCGCTGGAGTGAGGCTGCTCCTCCGTCAGCGAGGTGTCGCTTCTTGTGTGTGTGTGTGTGGGGGGGGTGTATGGGTGTGTGTGTGGGGGGGGGGTGTATGGTGTGTGTGTGTGTGGGGGGG